TCTTAAATGAGTCGTTTCTCTAGGTTTCTCTAGGTTATTTCAGTAATTTAGCTGTTAAAATTACGATAGCATAAAAAGTTTTCATTGTTTAATCACCATTTAGAAATATTATGAAAAATGTTTTAAAACTAACGACTACAGTGTTGATTACAACGACGGTGGCGTCACTCAAAGCGCCGCCATCTGATAAGTGCGCAAACGAACTTTTTCAGCATAGGGCTAGCAGACGAAGGTGTTTCTTAGGTTATATTTGAAAAAGCAGAAGGATTCTAATATCTTATAAAATGACATATAGTTTCACGTTATATTATGGGATAAATTTGTCCTAAGTAAACATCAGTTCGGTTAATCAGCATTTAGGTATAATATAATTGCACCTTTGTGATGTAGCCCTCGGTCTGTAACGGTGCAAATAGAGATTGCAAATGCGCAACTTTTCAGGGTGGCAGCACGGTCGGGGTAGTCATAGGCGCCGTTCAAATTTGCTGCGTGATGTTGTAATTAATATATACACGATTAAATTGGTATCTCGGTAACAAATCGTGTGCGGTATAGCGATTTGTTATTCAGTAAGTACAGTTGTATGCCAGTAAAAATCTAGAGTCTACTATCCCTGTAACTCTACGGGGCAGTACCACGAGCTACGCTGTTGCTTCCCTCTACAAATATCAAGCTCAGAGATCTAGGCTGTGCCTCGTCGAAGTCTCCCGCACCGTTGCACAGGTCACTGGCCAAAACGTCTTCAGGTAGTGCTACGATTCTTCGTGCACAGGTTGCCGTGCACAGGATGTGCTGGATCTTACCGGGGGACGAGCAATGTCTTGAATGGCCGAGCATGCTGTTGCAAGCGATGCGGAACGTGCAGCATCCCCTGCACCAGCACAACTGTTCACGGACGAAACGCGGGGCGAGAGTGAGGTGAGAAAGTTTAACTTCCAATGTTATTAGAAATTACCTGCAATTTTCCAAGGGCCTCGCCACAAAACATGTATCTGGCCAAACTATATTTTGAGTAGTATAGGAAATACATGCATGCTAAAATGAATAATTGTACAAGGCCCAATCCTAGTATAGCACCCGCGATTTCGTTAGCACACATGGCAAACTATAGATACCGGGCTTTCAAAACGTATGAAGGTTGCTGCATTGTACAACTTCAACTTCAAGTTTGGTTGCGCAGAGAGTGTGTCTATTCTAGTTACGTATCTACGCCTACGTTCTTCTTAACAGGACAATATCAATAACGAAATGATCTAAATCTCCTATTTAAATATCTGCATGCAGGTATATGCGGCAGCGGCACCCTAAACACCTAACCCCTGTTTACTTGAGAAATCAACAGAAAATTAAAACTACTGCGGATTTAGGAAATCAAAGACCGTTGGCCCGGCAAGCCGTCGATATTTTCTAAGTGTCGATTGCGATGTTCGTTCGCCTCAGTGATCTCGAAGCTAGGAGAATTGGATGCTAGTTAGAATATACAAGTTCACTTACATTTCTAAACAAAATTTGTTAGGAATACTTTGGATCGTAGTACACTGTTTACTTGGGAATCACCAAAATTAAGGAAGACTGCTGGGCATGTAGCAAAATCACAAAACCGGCCCGCTGCCGGGCATATAGCAGCTTCGTATATATACGTATTATAGCGTGTCTCTTGCAACGTTGGCATTGATCGACATCGTTTAACATTTATTCCCTCTGTCTTGCCCAGTGCGAGAGTTGACTGAGTACTGTAGTATACTACTAACTAGTATTACGTTCTAAGTTGTACTTGGTAAGTTTAGTTGAGTTGTAGGCGGCCCTAGTTGAGTTGGTGCAAATCCACTTTAGGCACCTTAGGTTATCAGCGAAAGTGTATGCCACAGATTTCTGTGTATCATAACTAATGCACAGAATTTTCCGTTATATCAAGAATGATGAAAAACCCTAACCCTACCTAGAGCCCAACCACTAATCCTACACCCTAACACACTTTGGTGATGCCTAAGCGAAGTAAGGTTATACTTTATGACTTAGGCCATGAGAATGAAGAAATCCGGATTCGTCCAACAGGAATTTTAAAAAAGCCTGATGAGGCTTTTTTTCATATTCATTAATTCATATTTTAATTTTTCAGGTGACAATTACATTGAAATACAGTACAGGCATATAAACAATTCAGCCGCCCCTCTTTATTATTCATTATTTTATTTTTTTAGGCTGGAAATTTTTCTTAATTTTTCACGTTCGGGAATTGTCGGTTTGAAGTCGTCATCTTAGGGTTTTTTCGACAATCTTGTATTCCGGCGCCCTGATATATGTTAGCTGGTTTTAGAAAAGTGGCATTACAATCCGGACTGCCAGCTTGTCAATAAGACAAATCAGATTGCCTGATTTTTAGGCGCTAAGTACAGCCTTGGGGATTAGTCTATTATGTTTCGTGAGGATTTTTTTTCCAAATAATGCATTTTTGTAGAATAATGACTTTTTTAGCGCAGCGGCGGGACTAAAGGGGCATGCGGGCGTGGACGGTATAAACCGGCATTTTCTTCTCATGGCCTTACGGTAGGGTTAGGGTTAAGGTTTTGCATCACTTCTCTGATATACGGAGTCTGCTGCATTCACTGCGTGATCTAAGGTGCGCAGATAGTGGATTTGCGCACTTTGAGTTGTAGTCTGTACATTCACTATCATGTGTTACATCTGTAATTTGGTCTAATTGTGTTTACAAATTACAGGCTTTTAGTCCGAACTTTTACGCGCTCCGGCTTTGTTTGACGACATTTGATACCACACAAAAGTTGTCAATGAGTACGATTCATTTGCATGTCGAACGACAAAAATGCTAAGATTTGCAATTTCTTCCCATTTTCTGTGCTTACCTTGATAGAGCAGATACACCTCCTGGCAAACACGTTACCTTGTCAGGCGAATCACGATATCGGTGAGCACAGTGACGCGTCAATTATATGTCACCCAATCACAAAACTTGTTAGGTTGTAAGCGCTACCGACATGGGGCGATTGTGGGGAAGCGATTAGTGGTGGGAAAAGCGGAGCCAGAGGACTTCAGGCTGAGTTTCTCTAATATTTCTCTTGGAAAGCATGAGTGAGTTATGTCGGCTACTTGGACGATAATCCAGGAGTCCATACTGGAAGGGGTACGTGACTTACCATGGGGAGTAAAGTACACACGATCGTAATTGCCATAATTGTTCACGCGTTGATAGGTTCAGTTTCAATCCGTTACAGAATCGGGGCTACTTGGCTTTTGCGGCAACACTTAGTTCATGTTGTTACCATGGTAGCGCTGCATAGCATAGCAGAGTACGAGTAGGCTTCATATGCACAGGCAAGAGAATATATGAGCATTTATAATTTCTGCGCGACGGAAGAAACGGGTGAGCTCCGATAACGGCATCGGAATCCACTCCACAGTGATCCGCGCGGACTTGCGTACGCATGATTGCCGCAACGGGACTGCTTCGCTGAATTGGTCCGTAAATAAAAATATATGCACTGCTGCTCGTCTATCCTTTCATCCGTCCTGTTCTCGCTCTCTCTCTCTCTCTCTTTCACACACACACACGCAACAGCGCTTTCTCTCTCTCTCTCATCTCTCTCTCTTCTCTCTCCCTCTTCTCTCTCAGCCTTCTCTCTCTCTGCCATCTCTCTCTTCCTCTCTCTCTTCGTGTCTCTCTCTCTCTCTCTCTCTATCACACAAACACACACGCTCTAGCGCTCTAGTCTTCTCCTTCTCCTCTCTCTGCTCTCTCTGTCTTTCCCTCTCTCTCTCTCTCCTCTCATTCTCTCTCTTCTCTCTCTCTCTCTCTCTCTCTCTCTCTCTCCTCTCTTGTTCGCCTCTCTTCTTTCTCTCTCTTAACACACACACACCACACACACAAAGCACAGCGCACACACACACAAACACACACACCACACACACACACACTCTAGCTCTCTCTCTCTACTCTCTCTCTCTCTTTCTCTCTCAGCATTACACAAACATACACAT